GTTTTCTTAAGATTCTAACAAAAAAAAAAGTTCTTCTCCATATTATAATTAGTAATCATAAAAAAAAAAAAAAAATGGGCTCAAGAGGAGGAATGGGAAGGAGTCAAAGTGGTGGTCGAAATGATGGCCAAAGGAGTGGTGGTGCAAATTTTTCGTATGAAATTAATACGGAAAATTTAAACCAATTTGTCAATGAATATGGAGATTATGGTTTAGGAGACAAGCAAAATATTCAAACGTCTCCACCACAACATTTCTTCCACCAACCATCAAGTTCAACTATGCTACCTCCATCGCAACCAACATCTCAACCTTCATCTCAATATAATTTCTAATTAAATTTTTATTGCTATGAATATTTAAAAAAACTATTATTAATGATTATAAAGTTAGTTTAGTTTCCAATTTTCTATGATTTACAATTAGTTAATTACCATGAAAAATGTGTTTAAATAATTATAATTAAAATATTTAAAATTTAAAAGCTTATTTTCATGAATAGAGTTTAAAATTAATTTCAATAATTTGATTTATGAAAGGTGGTGGCGGTGAAAGTAGAGGTCGAGCAAAATTTTCTTGGGTGTGGAAACATTTTGAACGAGTTGAGGTCACACCCCTGGGATGGCAACCCGGTCAACCAAAGAGGTTCACGTGTACATGCCTAGTTTGCAAGGCGCTAGGTGCAAATGTCAAGTCATATAGTTGGAAAACGGGAGATGAAACCGGAACCTTGAGTCGGCATTTGCAAAATAAACCCGACTTGTTCGAAAATGGCCCCCGTCCTTCGGTGGGTGGCGTCCAAACACAATTGGGTGGATACATGAACCAACCCGGCGGAGGTACACCTTTCAATTATGTATAAGAACTCAACCAAAGTAAAAACTAAACCTTCAAGTTACCAGGAAATTTTAAAAAATAAAAATAAAAATACAGAATTTCATTTCACTAAAAGAAAAATACCAAGTTTTACAATTCAATCAATTACAAAGTTAACATTTTAACAATAATAATCATGCAAATTTAGTATTCGTGATACTATTTCACTGGAATATTGGGATAACCTTATATTTCTTGGTGTTGTTCTTGTTGTTGTTGTTGTTGTCGTCGTCGTCGTCGTTGTCGTTACTCTGCATGGAGGAAACAGGGTAGCAGGAGTGGAAAAAAGAGACGAATTGATCGAAAATGAGTCGCTTCACTAGCTTCCTTTTAGCAGGAAAAACATTTCCCTTGCAAAATGACCTAATATCATTCTCCTTCTCCATAATCTTCTTTGCCTCCATTATCATTTTTTTGGTTGTTTATATTTTGGAAGGTTGGAAGCAGAGGAGAAAGGAAAGAAGGGGTAAAAGGTAAAAGGAAATGAAGTTGAAGCACCAAAACTTTCTATTTATGTATGAATAAATCATTAGGGTTATTCCGTGTAGTTTCTTAGGAGTCAAATCTATTTTAGAATAACTAATACTCCAAGTTGTACCAAATTTTAGTGGGCTTGTGCAACAGCACGCGTACACGTGTGATGTGATTTCAACCATAATATTCTTAACGACAACATAAGTAAGTAGTACGGACTGTGCAGTGTTTGCTTCATCAGAAGTGTGGGGACATTGAACCAATGACTAATTAGTTATTGTATTACTATAATACTACTAGTATATGATACTAATATGGCAATATAGATCTTGCTAACGGACGTTTTGAATTGAAGCGTTAGATAACAATATGATATACTTCTAAAATGGTATTGTATTAATTTGAATGTTGAAATCAAGCATTTATCGGTGTAGTTAGCGTTTATTTCAAGTGAAGTAATACTTTTACTTTTAGTATGCTTATCTAACACCTTAGGACATTCATTAGGTTTTGCTTACCATTATTAGTAATACTTTTATAATTTTACTATTGAAGGAGACAATCGTCTGATTATTAAGTAATTGCAAGGTTTGTGGGCAACTACATAATAATACTACTTTCATTTCATATTAATTGTAATAATTTGACATAAAATGTGAGTAAAAAATGTCTAATCGTTGCAAATAATATAAAACGAAGGTAGTATATCACAATTGCAAGCACCATTTGATGAAGGGGGGACAAGGAAACCTTCCGAACCAATTGGACCCAAACCCTTTGACCCTTCTTTCTGTTATCCCCTTCACCAACATTATGATGACAATTTGAATATTTGACACATGTCGATTAGTAGATTGCGCAACAGATTTTGTATAGTTGTCAGTTACTCTCTCCGTGTTTTATTAATTGCTCCACTTTCCTTTGACGGCCGTATTTTATTACTTGCTCCGTCCATTTTCTTTTTTGCAACCTTTGGACTTTTAGTATTCTTAACTAACACCTTATCACATTAACATATATATCATCATGTAAAATGTCAAAACTGTCTCATGCTTTTGTTGTGTCATACGACCATGTCTTTTGTGATGGGTTGTGGCGTGTCTAAAGCCCATCAGCTAAGCTAATCTCACCGTATCATTCTAAATCTGATCCTATAAACTCTTCGTCGGTCTTAATTATGAGACAAAATATATCTATTCTCTGGCCTCCTATCGTAAGTATTTATTACACTTACTTCTTCCGTCTTTTTCTAAACACATGTATCATTTGATAAGAGGACCCTCTTATCTAACTCAATGAGTAAAATGACCAATATTGCAATCTAATCCACTACTCAATTTGTCTCCTGATAAATATGTCGATTGCTCAAATTATTGAATTTGTTGATATTATTCTTGAGAATTAAAGAGCATAGGTGTGCATATTTCATAAGCTGTAATCTTGGACATGAAAGTCAACCATGCTTTTCAGCTTTCACTAACAACTTGTTTAATTACCACTTTCGAGGAAGATGTAGGCTATAGCCGTATGGCCTGGTGCTGATATGGCTCCTCTTTTTATTTTTTTAAGGTATTAAAAGTAATTTAATCGGAGTTTATTTTCTTAAATACGGATTATGGACTACTTCAAATAGCTGTATAATCCACGTGGATATAAATAATTGGCATACAAGACCTTTTCAAGATTGCCTAGAAATCTAGGACATGTTTGATTTTGCTACCTACTTTTTGCAATGTAGAGTGACACATTGACTTACTTTTTAAGGAATATAACTATATAACCCTACTTCAACAGTTTCCTTTTAATTGATAGTACACCAAGTATTTCCTTACATATGTTTACCAATGTATAATTTTAAATCTTAGTAATTTGAATTATTGATAAAAAAAACAAAATTAATAAAACTCATATATAAAAAATTTATATTGAGACGAATTTAACAAGATCATATAATTATGTTTTTTTTTTCGTAACTATAGATCATGTAATAAAGTCAAATGAACTAAATCAACGTAACGAAAAAGTATTTTCTATTGAGTAAGTGTTTGATTCATTATTGTAAAAGTAAAGTAAATCTAAGCACTACTAAATTACGAAAATGATACTCTTAGAGGATGTTTGGTTAGGGTTTTGTTTTTGGTTGGAAATGAAGTCAATTAAGGTAAAGTTTTGGGTGAGACGGACTCACCGTGAGTCTGCCGCCAACACTCACAACACCATTCATTCATCAACTCTCGCTAAAATCGAAATCCAACCATCATCACCTCGTTACCCACTTCCATCGTCTTCCTCCACCACCACTTCCACCGTCTTCTTTGTTCTAGGTTTCTTCGTCGGCATTTTCCGGCGGAGAAGACATTAAGTTGGGTTTTGGGGGTTTGATTTACGGTGGCGAGTACGACAGAGAGAGAAAATGGTGGTGGTTTTGGCGGCAACACTATAGTTGGAGTGTAAGATATGCTTTGTGTTGATTTAATGTGGAAAGTCTCAATCTGGTAGGGTTTCCATGGATGTAATGAGGAGAGAGAAAATATTGTAGCCATGGAAGAAGAAGAGGGTCAGTGGTGAATTGAAGGAGAAAATAATGTCAGGTATTAGATTATTATTGTTTGGTATTAGATTATTATTGTCAGGTATTTGATCATTATTGTCAGACATATTGGACTCACGGTGAGTCCGGTCTCACGCAAAACCTTCTCTTCAATTAAACCATTACTTCTATCGAGTATTCGGTTAAAAAGGTTATGATCATTACTTAGGGGTAATGGTTTTCACCTATCTGCTGCATCTCTAAAATTCTAAGGTAACAAGTACATTTAATCCCCTCTAACAAAATGAAAAAGCAGTTTAATTAGTTCATTTCTATGGTTAAACCAAACAAATGAAAAGATTAGACAAGAGTTAAATGATTATTTCACACCGTATTTGTTTTCTTTCCATTATATTTTCAATTATCATACCAAAAGCACCTTAATGTAGTTATATATCTACATTATTTTATCTAAAATTGTCATTAGAGTTGACTTTTGGAGACTAATTTGGGAAGCTAACTATTTATGAAATAAGGAATATGTCCTCTTAAACTCACATTTGGTTGTAGATCTCCCGTAGTTTAATACAAGTATATTTATTTGATTCAATTGACTATGTGTTTGTTGAATTTGATTTTTTGTTTAAGATTTTTTATTTTATTTTTTATTTTTTTAGATGTTGTATGACTCTTGATAATGAATTGAATTTATAACCCAAAAAAAAATAAAATGGTTGTATATGATTACATTTTTATAAGGTTAGGTAATTATTTTGGTCCGATTTGATCCGACATCTATTTTAATTGGACTTTGATCATATTCGAGTATCTGCACATTATTATTATACAAGAATAACATTATCAGTTGAGGTCTTATTCGATCAAATCTGCAGGGACTTTCTACTGTTAAATTTGTTCAACCTTAGTGGCTCTATTTCTTAGTACATTAAATCAAACTTGTGCATTGACAAACATAAAATCGAAATATGGCATGTATCTAAAGATAGTGGCCTAGCGGGCCTTTATCTAAGCTCTCTCTACTTCTAGAGCCCAAATGGTACCCCTTTTTAATTTAATTTTTTTTGGAGGACTAGAGCCCAAAATTTATAAAAGCCCAAATAAATAAAAAATCTTAAAAATTTGAAGTCGCCCAAAATCAAAATCACGTGTCCAAATTCAGAACCATTGGCCCTTGGATAAACTTTCTTCAAGCTTCAGCTCTTTGTTCTTGCTCTCTCTCCTTCCTGCGCTCAGGTTTTAATTCTTCACTCTTTCCGTTAATATTAGTAGCACTTTATTGTTTAAATTCAGTTTTAATGCTCACTTTTACTTAAATTTTTCTCAATTTTGCTGCTTTATTAAGCTTTTTAGACACTGGGTTATCATGTTATTAATGGGAAATTATTGCTTTTTAATACATTTGCAAGGTTTATGTTTACTGGGTATAAATTATACTTTGTAATTTCTTGTTAGTACTGTTTTTAAATACAAAATTTTGATATAGAGTATTGTTTGTTTATTCTATTACATTTCATACGCAAAATTTGGTTTAGTTTGGTGGGAAATTGACATTGTGGTGTTATCTATAATTTGTTTGGTTCTTCAGATATTTGATAAGGGAATTTATCAAGTTTTCGCATCGAATGATTGAATTATACAGTTGTGTTGGGTTTTGATTTTTGAATCAAGTATAAATGGGTGGAAATGGTTGTTGTTAGGAATTAGAAGAACTAGCATAGTGAGCTCATGAACAATATAAGATGCCTGTTGTTATGAAACCTTTCACCCCGTTTAGTCTTTCGTCTTCCTACAACCTTACCGTTCCTTGCGAGGCGTTCCTAGGTCCGGCTCGCTCTTTATCCTGCAAGTTTCAGCTATGTAAGAACCCTAATAGAGTTTTATTGGGGAAGCTTCTCTTCCCACAAGGTTTGGGACTTACTTGGAATCACTCTATTTGGAAAGCAGCCCAGGTTGCCTATTGCTATGCTGAGGGTATCTCAGAAGATTTGTCAGATAACCAGCTTTCTGAAAAGTCTCAAAATGGAAATTTTCATGATACTGAAGAGCTAGGGTTGCTAAACAAGCCCTCACCGATACCGGTTAACGGTGCCTCTGATAGTAAGTTTGGGAGTGAAGCCAAGAAATCAGATAAAGATGAGGCATTGGAGCCTTTTCTAAAGTTCTTTAAGACAAGAGATACGGAGGAAGAAATAGTAGAACAAGATGAAGGGGGACGTGAGAAAGAAACTGAAAAGGTTCTTATTGAGTATTATGAGCCAAAGGCTGGTGATTTTGTTGTTGGTGTAGTTGTTTCTGGTAATGAAAATAAGCTAGATGTCAATATAGGGGCAGATATGTTGGGCACAATGTTAACCAAGGAGGTGCTTCCATTGTATGACAAAGAGATGGATTATTTGTTATGTGATTTAGATAAAAATGCTGAGGGATTTATGGCCAATGGGAAGATGGGGATTTTAAAAAATGAAGACGCAATAAGTGGACAACCTGTTTCTGGCCGGCCTGTCGTGGATGCTGGAACTGTTTTATTTGCTGAGGTTCTTGGTAGAACACTTAGTGGCAGGCCATTACTTTCAACTCGACGTTTTTTCAGACGAATTTCTTGGCATCGTGTGAGGCAGGTTCTTTTCTCACTTTTTTTTAAATAATGTATTATTATTAATGGATAATGTGTTTTTCCATGTATTTCCTTATTCATTCATTAATCTCTCAGAAGGAAATTTGATTTACCATAGTCATTCAATTTTGATGCATCACTCTTCTTACATTGGTGATTTTTCTAGCATGCTCTAACTTGCAATTTATTAGTATCTGTCTGCATACTGTTGAGAATCCTTGTGGTTTGATTTGTATAATCAATGTATTAAAGAGGAGGCATGATCACATTGAGCCTGTGATTTTGTCAAAATTTAGGGGCACCAAATGGCAGGATCCAATCATCTATGCCTACTAAGATAATGTTATAGAATTCATTTTGTTTTTATTAATTGCTAGTTGATTGAATTAAATGTTATTTTTGAGATATCTATTTGATTTGGGCAGATAAAACAACTAGGCGAACCTATTCAGGTTAGGATTACAGAGTGGAATACAGGTGGTCTGCTTACAAGAGTTGAGGTTGGTACTGGCTTTCATTGCGTCACACATTGCTTAATTGTATTGTTTATTGACTTGCAATTGTGTTGCTTTGCAGGGTTTGCGAGCCTTCCTCCCTAAGGTTGAGTTGGTTGATAGAGTAAACAGTTTTACTGAATTAAAAGAGAAGGTAAGGTACTAGTTAAAATTCGAAAACTTCTAGTACTCAATGTTCAATGTCAGTGGGGGTTTTTGGAATTGTTACATCACTCCTTATAGTGTTGCCCAAAGGTAACTTATGAGGCTTCTAGGTGTTCTAGCTAGGTGAGCTAAGTAGTGTTAGATGTGTGTAGCCGTATCCTTAAGCTTTTTCCCTGCTTTTGCCAAGTGTTTGCTTTTCTTAAACTCATACAGTTTGAAGTGCTTCCCATTTTTTTTTATTCAATCTTGTCAAAAAGTTACCACTGTTATTTTGAAATCTCCATCTTTGATGAAATTATAAAAATTAGGCTTTGAGGTTTTTCTCTCAGGAAAAATAATAATAATAATGATAATTAAAATCAGGTTTTGGGATTTTCGAATCTCCCTTAAACCCCTTCATATCATGATTATCAATTTTAATATCTAAGTTTCGTTTTAGTGTCATTTCTCATCTCAAGTGAATGTGTTTATTAACTTGTCTGATGGTTGTCAACGAAGTGGATTATTGATTGCTTGGTTGTTTTATCTTTATGTATGTAATGTCTCAGTTTGTGTATGTTGCAGGTAGGGCAATGGATACATGTGCAAATCAGTCGAATAAATGAAGATAATAATGACTTGGTACTCAGTGAGCGAGAAGCTTGGGTATGTTTTACACACCTGTCTTTTATGCTATCTGTTTTCTCCCTGATACATTTTGTTGCATGCTTCCCCAATTTGACAGATCAAGAAAGGTCTCTGAGCTTGCTGTTTCATGTGCTAGGAAAAGTTGTACCTACGAGAGGGAACCCTTCTGGATGGAACTGTTAGGAAGATCTTCCCTTATGGAGCCCAAGTGAAGATAGGACAAACAAACCGAAGGTAAGATATGCAGGGATTGCTTTCTTATTTTCTACATTATTATAATTTTGTTGCATTGCAAGTCTCATTTCATTTTAAGCTTCAAGTTCATTCCCCCTTTAACCAAAACACCAAAAGACTGATTTGTTAAGTAATGAACTGTATACTTACTGGCGCAGCCTGACAGTCCTCTTCTGACATTATATTGTATGGTTTGTTATCACTGGGTTTTGTTTTAATGCAGTTTGTCTCTTGTATTACAGTGGACTGTTGCATGCATCCAGCATCACTCGTGGTAAATTTGATTCAGTTAGTGATTTATTAGCAGTGGGGGAGAAAGTCAAGGTCCTAGTTATAAGATCTTTGTTTCCAGACAAAATTGCTCTCAGGTGAGTAAGTAATTCCTTGATATTTACTTTCTAGTCCATTTAACTTCTACAACATCAATACTTTATATTGGGAATTTCATACTATGAACAGTATATTCAGCGTATGAATAATTAAATATAAACTTTAAGTACACTCGACGTACAATAATTTTACTGTCCATTGCCCATTTTAAGGGCAAATTTTTATTAGTTTTTGGTAATTTTTACTTCTAGGGTAACTTTTAACCTGTTATAATTTGGTGTACATTAAGAGGTGATTTTTAAGGGAAGAGTTTTTTAAGGGATTATATGCTTATCTTTATACATTAGGATTAAATGGTAAATGTTTTTAAAGAGAGCAATTTTATCAATATTAAAATAGGTAGGTTTTACTATATACTTGTATTGCGGTAACTTTTTTATTATTAGCTCAACATTACACAAGGTGTACAATATTTACTGTACACCTCCACATATAAGTTATTACCTCCGTTTCATATTTTTTGCAACTTTGGAATATTTTATATCTTTCAAATATTACCCCAAAGTTACAAAAAATATGAAACAGAGATAGTATTAAGTTTGTCATAATCAAATAACCAAATATGTGTCCAGTGGTGAAATGTGAAAAAAAAAAAAAAAAAAAAAAGATTGATCTGTTGAATTTATATACTTAATATTTGGTTGAGGTAATGCAGTTGATCTCGTTTAGCAATAGGCAAGAGGATCAATTTCTATCCTTGATTTCAAATTCTAATTCCTTATCACTAACTCATGCTTGACTCTTTAGTTTGAGAAAACAATACGCTTTTCTTACATTTCAAATTATTCTGTGAACCAGTTGTTCAGCAGGAATATTTCCTTATAAGAATGGCCAGTAAAAAGCATGCTTTTTGATTTATTTATCAATTAAAAAAAATATATTTCTAGTTCCCCCCCCCCCCCCCCCCCGCGCGCGCGCTAGCGTGTCATCCTTGAAGGGTTCGATTTTTCTCATTACTGTTTGTCTTCAGCTTTTCTGTTCCTCTTTACTTTTCATAAGAGGTTCTTGAACTTAAATTTGCACTTTTAGACGTAATAGAATGACCTATTCAGCCAATGTTTTGCCTTTAATCAGGAACTTTAGCATCCAAGATTGTATTTGGGTTTGACTGACCTTAGATTACACCCTAATTCCTACTTATACACAGCCCTTAGAATTGTCACAATGCTGTATTTGAGATGTACCGCATTGATAGTCTTCTCTTAATGGATCTCTGTGAAAAGTATCCCTTGTTTGGACTAGTGAACAGAGTGTTTAGGAAACTGGAGGTTCCCCTAGTTGCCTTTAACTTAATCTGAGATGTGATTTGGATCAGATAGGGAGACATATGCATGTACATTTGCAATAGAAATATGATACACTTGGTTTGTCTTGATAACCTTACTGCTCCTAGAGTAATTATTTTACCAATGTCGTTTTAGTTATGTCACCCTGTATTGCATGTGACTTGCCTATCAGTTAAATACATCCATGAGATTCGTAGGCTGATCTTAAAGATAGGAGTTCTTATTCTCTAGGTCCTTAAATGCTAATTAAGTAAACTCCCTCCCTTTTTGTTGCTCCAATATACCTCCATTATCCAGGACTTTGATTATATTTGAAGCAATTAGGTCCTGTATAGAACGGGCATCCGCATACAATGGGCTTAGTCTCCCCAAATTCCAATAAATGCCACCATCTCTTGTATGCTTATTCTTTTCCCCCCTCCTTTTCCCTTGCTTTTAATTTGAAACCTTTTCCCTTAACCCCCTAAAAAGACTGCTAAAACTTTTCACCCCACTGAAAACTGGATACCCCACCCTTACATCTACATACTCCACAAAATTTGAAGACCCAACTACCCAGAAACTGCGAAAACTCAAGTTGTCCTCCACTTGACCTGAATTCTTTGGGGTGATGTAATCGTTATTCCCCTATGCTCCTTCGTTGATTACCAATATCTCTCAATACAAACTCAGGGTTTCTCATCTTACCCGCAGTTTTTCTGGATTCATAACAATTGCCCCTTTTCTCAGTTTTCAAAGTTCTCTACACTTCTCTCCTTATTCCTAAGGAAGAAGCTGGAAGTTGACACTTATGGCAGTAAGAATACTAAGGTTTAAATCTTCTGGTATTATTTGATTATTTCACCAACGTATTGGATTCCAAACTTATCCTTAAGTTGTGTTTGATCAATCAATCAATCAAAGCCTTAACCCCATAAGTGTTTGATATGGTTCCAAAATATGGAGGCGCGGTTTTGCTGTGAAAATTAAGACAGCATTAGGTGATATGAATAGCTATGGGCGACCCCTAGAATAGTAGAATGTGAAGGTAAAAGAACAAAGTCTTGCACTATTTAGTACGAGAAGACAAGGGGAGAGAGATGGTGGTTCAACTGATAGTCTGATACAAACTCAGAAAGAAAACAGTTTTGAAGTAGTATTCGAATTATTCTGGGGGTAGTGGGACAAATTGCTTGAAATTCTGATATTGTTTTCAACATGTTGAACTAAGACTTTACTGAGTGGAAAGGTAATTAGAAGGTATGTGTATGATACATTAGCATATGCTGCTTAAGCAGGAAAGGGAGGTTAGTAAACAGGCCTGTATTGTTGATTGGGTTGCGCCTAGGGTCAGTGGGGCATGCGTTTCATTATAGGTTAAGTGGATATTTTATTCTTATTTTAAAAAAGGCTGATACACACAGGGGAGGAAAAAAAGAGCTGTGATTTGCACATAAATTAAAGCTGAGTGGGACGGTGGAGCAACAAAAGGTCTGTACAGGTAGTTCCCCACAAATACTAATTGTAGATGGTAGCTTAAGGTACCTTTAGTTAAATTTTCTGATTACTTATGTGTGTATAAGAATACATGCAATGTGCATTGAGTTCAAAGCACAAGTTGCTGGAGAATTTAAGGCTTCTGCATTTTGCTTTGCAGTATCGCGGATCTGGAAAGCAAGCCTGGGCTCTTGATATCAGACAAAGAGGTGCTTAAACATCTCCTTAAATTTGTTTGTGTTTGTAACCTGCAGTAACTAATCATCTTGCATTCATAATTTCATTCTAAAAATTACCTATGCATTTGCTATGGCTAGAAAGTATTTGCAGAGGCTGAAGAAATGGCAAGGAAATATAGACGTAAGCTTCCTAGTATATCCACAACACGTAAAACTGAGCCTCCAAATAGCAATCTGTTGTTTGAAGATGAAGCAAATCTCTATGCAAATTGGAAGTGGTTCAAATTTCTAAGTGATAATGATCAAGATTCTCCATGAGCTTACTTGTCAATTTTTGTCACATTCACGAGGATGACTTTTTCTGAGATGATGACTATTTCGACTGCATAAGTTTGCTCCAAAAAAAATCGAATCTGAAAGAAAAGAAAACTGCATCCCAGTCAATCACATGGCGTGACTTCCTCATTGTTGTAAAATTATGGCTGTAAGATTGTGTCCTGTTGGTATGAAGCTCAGCAATTTTCAATATATCCGAGATGAGCGTGCACATTGTAGGGAAATATAAACATGATGTGCTGTGAATCAAATTTTGACAATGTAATCTGATGGAAATTTTTTGATTTTATCAAGATATTCGTAAGATGTAACATATTCACATTCCTAGCAGCTTCTGTTTCATGTCGCTAGCATGTAGTTGGGCTGTTTTGAGCTTACAATGGAAACCTAGATAGTGAGCTACTGAGCTATAAGATGTACCAAGTGCAATGATAAAATCATGAAAATACAGTAAACAAAAATGTTGGCATTTGGAAGCTTACTCTTTTACTATCAGAGCCAGGTTTCGATCCTGGGACCTGTGGGTTATGGGCCCACCACGCTTCCGCTGCGCCACTCTGATTAATTGGTAAGCTTTGCACAATTAAAATTTAACACAGTAAAGTCTTATTTTCGCTTTCAGAAAGTTGCTTATTGATTTATGGTCATATTGGTCAACATATGACGTTACTTAAGGTATCATTATTAATTCGTCCTACACTAATTAGTAATTAAGTTCACCATCAAGGATTTGATTGGTATATGTAGGCTAATAATAATAAATAAATTAATAATTTGGACCATATTTTATTAACAATATGAGAGTGAGGGATAGCTCAAACGGTTAGAACTTCCCTCCTGATTCTAAGTGATTTTATGATCGATTCTCATCACTCGCCATTATGACTCTCTAAACACCAAAAAAAATATATTTTATTAACAATATAAAATAAGTGTTATTACTATTGCTTAAATAAAAGGTTATTGCAATATTTATGTACAAAATATTACTCTTAACACTTTTAATCCACTCAATTTTAGTGGGCTTGGATATTTTTGAAAAAAATAAAAGGAAAGAGAAATAATTATGTAGGCTAAGGGTATGTTCGATATCATCTGATTTTCACATACCTGACTTATCTAATATGAAATTACTTGAATTTATTAGACCTTATTCAAAATTATATTTAGCTGTGATTTGAACTTTGATAGCCCCTATTAGAACTTATTTTTTAGGAGCTTATCTTATCTGAACTTAAATGAATTTAATAGAGTTGAAATAAACGAAAATAAGGTAAGCATAACAGGCTCTTAGGATAGGTAACTTCCTAGTTCCCACATTAGGTATTTATAAGGTCAATTAGACATGCCTAGTATCTCTCAATTCTAAATTAAATGTGATACTCCGTATTTGAATTGTCAAAATTTACAAGGCATTTTTCTTTACCATTACAATTATGTTTCTTTATAACAGTTATTTATGGATTCAAGTAATAATATTTTATTAAGTTTAGATAAGTTTAAATGAGTGAATATCAGGTTAACAAATCATATCATTGAGGATTATGCTTATAGAACATTAGGTGAAATGAGCAATATTTAGACAATGAGCACTGGCATCATTAGAATCAATTATGTTTACAATATTCATTTAAAATACTCTAATTTGTAATTTTGTAAATCGATATGGTCGTCGATATTATTTTTTTTGTAATTCCAATATGAAGCTCTTTAAGGAGCAATAATTAGTGATCATTCAAGTTTCCAACCCAGTGTTGTCTTGATCATTTGCTTGGTGTGGTGTTGCTAGAATTAAGTTGATATTGTGTCGCTGCATGTATTAAACCATCATCAACCTCCAAAACGCCCCAAAACTTGATGATTCAAATTCACTTGTGTCGCCTTGACTAGCTCGATTTTTACAAGCTCCAAACACCCTTGTCGCCAATAAACAAGAGTGCGTATTTAGCTCGATTTTTACAAGCTCCAAACACCCTTGTCGCCAATAAACAAGAGTGCGTATTTGTAAATTAGACACACACATGTATTATTTCGTACTAATCATATCTCTAAATATAACTGCGTCACACAACGGGTCGTCTTAAACATTTTTGAGGCCCTGTTCTATTCTTGTAGACGAGGCCCTAAATTTTTAAAAATACATATTTGTCTTGCCAAATTAAGCTCTAGTTAATTGGTTCTCAAAAAAAATAAATTTAAGTTTTAATTAATAACTTAAATAAATTTTTTCTGGAAATTTTTTTTAAAAATAGAAAACTCAAATAACATGATAATGTCCTACAATTAATCTTTTTTGAAAAGAAGAAAAAGGGTCGTCTTAAACATTTTTGAGCCCTGTTCTATTCTTTTAGACGAGGCCCTAAATTTTAAAATACATACTTGTCTTACCAAAGTAAGCTCTAGTTAATTGGTTCTCAAAAAAAAAAATTAAGTTCTAATTAATAACTTAAATAAATTTTTCTGGTTTTTTTTTTAAAAATAGAAAACTCAAATAACATGATAATGTCCCGCAATTAATCTTTTTTGAAAAGAAGAAAAAGGGATTTCATAATAAAATATAGCCAAACGGCACTTACATATAATTCCTAGAAATCAAGAATTTCAACACAATTACACACCTTAAAACTAAATACATCATAAATTTGATTAACAATCGCCTTAATAAAAAACTTCATCTGAAGCAATACAATCTGTGAGTTAACACTTATTCGGCTTGAAATCCAGTGATGCGTAGTCGTTTGAGTGAAAATACTATGTGGTCCTCCGAATTCTTGAAGAGATTATGAAACCCTAGATTTTTCAATTTTTGCCATACAAACATAAAAATAAAATAAACACAAGAGAAAAATCATCATCTCAACGATGAGATTTATTTATTGTACGCAATTAAAAGGTTTTTGGAGGCTTATCACCGGTAAGAACGCCAGTGGGAAACCCCTACAAAGATTCACAATTGAGACCAAGAGGAAAGATATGGTAGAGATGGAGAGAAAAAGGGAGAAGAGAGAAGGAAAACTTTCAAAAAAAAATTGAAAAAAACCTAACAATTGAGGCTAGGAAAACCCTCCCAAGGGATGAAACCCTAAAGGGAACAAAAAAGCCCTCCCAAGGAGAAACCTAGAGGAAAACCCCTGCAATTCATCTTAACCTTTAAAAACTGACATAAAATGCAATCAGAATTTTTGCTGTAGTGGACTTAGGGTGGCTTTCCTTTTCCCAGCAATCCAAAAGCAGAAGGTTAAT